CGGAAGGCAGTGGCGGGAGAAGGCGGGCAGGGGGGACGGAGCGTCGGGAAGCGAGCGGGCTCGAGGGGGAGGCAGGGCGGCGGCTCAGTGATTGGGGCCTCTTATGTGGACTTGAATCGCGTGTCTTTGGGACTGCAGTGCAGCTGATGACTAAGCCACCGGAGGTCCACTGAAGCAATAAATGGATTTAAAATTTTACATAACCTTGACTATTCCATTAACTCAAGCACACAACAGTTAAAAACAATTCAGTATATACGTCAGCAACTATTTGTACAGTGAACCCTTGAACGAGGGCATCAGGGGTACTGAATTGCAGCTGAAAGTCCAAGTATGATTTTTGACTCGCCAAAAGTACTAGTAATCTGTTAACCACAAGTTTTACCAAACACAGGAGTCAATACATTTTCTGTATGTTTTATATCCTGTACTCTAACATTCAGGGGCTCTGGTGGCTATTAATAGAAAAGTCAGCAGCACAAATCCATCAGCTATGCCTTGTGAGAAAGACGGGAGGTCTCCTGTAAAGACTGAGGGTCTAGGCACCTGAGGGATTAGCATCTTTCAAGGCAAGAACAGTCCTGGTCACAAGCCCAACTGAATTTACACAAAAATAGCAGAGTTCACCTCTCCTTTATTAAGTCCTAGGGCAAGCTTCCTTACTATTAGGAACAGATTGGTATTCTGGTATGCCCCCACTTCAGAACGGGGCATGTGCATCTGTTTGAGGAACCCGGAGTGGAGCACACTTTTTGGACTCTGGGTCCCTGCACTGAGACCATTCTAGCACAGCAGAGAGCTCCAACTGTGGAGTGGTGGCAGCAAAATCAGACCAGCATGAGATGGCACGACGAGATGCAGAGGCCAAGGAGTCACACGGTTATATAAGGGAGGCTTTTCAACTCCTGTGGACTGAGAGCAGGGCCTCTAGGCAGGAGGCCTGCTGGCAGAGTGTCCACTGATCAACAGAGCTGAACGAGTCTTAACACTTGCCTGAGCACTGGAGGGGCTGAGGCCAGTCCTGACGAGCTAAGAGGTCTGCTCTAAGAAAGCCAAGAGCATCCTGCCTGAGGGAGCTCTGGTGGCCTAGTGATAAGAAACTGTACTGCAATCCCAAAGGCATGCAGTTTGAATCCAGCAGCTGTCCCGTGGGAGGGTGAGCAATCTCCTCCCGTGTGATTAACTGCCTCTGAAAGCCTGTGGGAGGGTCAGCCATGGGTTGGTTCTGAAATGATGGTACTGACTGCCCTCTCCTGCGGGGAGCTGAGAGGAGGTCTGGAGAACCTCTCTGACACTACAAAAGGACAGGGTCTCTTTATTTTGGGGGAGATTTCCAGAGCATGCCAGTGTGCTTCTTGAAAAAAATTCTCTTCCTTCCAAGTTGATCCCAATATTACCACTATTTCCCTAATATAATAGTGTAGTAAAAAAAAAACAAACCAAAACCCAAAACCTGTTCAGGGAGATCTCCCTTCTCCTCAATTATTTTAATGCCATCTGGGAACATGTCTGCTGCCTCTTGATCTGCAGAAACTGCTTCTCTTCTTACCTTGAAATTTTTTAAATGAAACAGCTTTTTAAAATTATCAAATCCTCCTTTGCGGGCATTAAACTCTCCAATTTCAGATCCTTCACCTTCTTTTTGTTTTCAATTGTCATATGATGATTTAGCTTTTTCTCGAATCCTATTAGCGTCTACAGGTATACCTTTCTTGTAGCAATCCTGCACCATATAAAAGCTACATCTTTCAACATGAGATAAAAATGTATTTCGCAAAAAAGTGCAAGGCTTTTGCACCTGCTGGCAAGGCAGCAGTGACAGCTTCACAAATTTCCTTTTCTTTCTTCACAATGGTCCTTACACTGGGTTCGTTCATTTTGAAATGTGGGGCAACTGCAGCTGCAGACCTCAATGTGCAGTACGTATCAGGCAGTTCAGCTTTTTCTTGTAATGTCATAACTTTTCTGTGCTTTTTGGGCAGCTCCCAGCATTCCTGGTGGCACATCGCACAGGTCCCATGGTGTTAATCAGTTTACTGGACTCAACATGCTGAAAAATATGTGGAGATTGCAAAAGATCACTTCTTAAACTGAGTTTACGATGAGATGTTATCCGTCATGCAGATGATTAGCTTCAAGCAGCATTACACTCCCAACATTTGACCTCACCTCCACAGAGCAAGGAGGTGGCACTAAGATGACTGTAGTAGTACAGGATGTATCAGTCAGGGTTAGAGCATGGATTCTATGCAGTTAGGATTTAGTACTGCATCTTTACATTTGTTTACATTTCTCCTGATGGAGAATGGTGTCATGTATGGTCTGTGAAGTGTCTGTATGTAGAACTTCTGACAAATTTTAACTTTTCATAATAATTTTATGTATATGTTATAGACATAAGTGATAAAACAGACTAGGATCTACATATATTCTATGTGTCCAGGGCACACTTAACTTTTTTATGTATCTAGGCTATGAAGTTCACTTCTGAGTTTTTCCATATTGCTGCACTTCTGAAAGAATTTTTATATTTAGTGGGAGGAAAAAAATCCCCAGATAAATGGACCCACACAGTTCACACCCATGTTGTTCAAGGGTCAAGTTTTTATCTAACTTCATCTTAAGGCATCCTGGAACAGTGAATTCCTTTAATGTGGAACATTTCTGGCACTCTCTTCAGTTTTCTTTGTCTTCTCACTTTCCACTGCACTGTGTTCATTGATACGCTGAGACTTCAGGTGCTTTTCTAAACTTGCTGTATGCTCTCCAACCATATCTGTGTTGCAAATTTTTATTTATTTATTTGTGGTCTTTTCATACTTGAAACATTCTTGACAAAGGTTTTCTCTGGCTTATCCCATACTAGAATTAAGGGAGAAGAAATGAACATTAGGGTCTGTTTTATGCACACTATATTTTATTGCAGTAAAAATAACCTTTAGACATAAATAGAAAAAGAACAGCATACAAAATTACAGTTGTATAAATGAATAAGAACAACAACAAAAAAAGAATTAGAACCAATATACACTAAACCACTTCTAGCAGTATGTCAACAAGCAACCTGAAGAAATACAAGTGAGATTTCAGAGGAAGAAGGAGAACAAAGCATACTGCTGATGTCAGGTGGATCTCAGCTGAAACCAGAGAATACCAGAAAGATATTTACCCGTGTTTTATAGAATACTCAAAGGCATTTTACTGTCTGAATCTTAACAAATTATGAATAATTTTTCAAAGAATTCTTTACATGACTTTGCTCAGCAGAATCTGTACACAGACCAAGAAGCAGTCATTCTAAAAGAACAGAGGAAGCTGGTCCCATGGGAAGAGGTTATCAGAAACTGTTTACATTAGTGCAACTCAAGTTGGTAGACAATCTCCCACCGCTGATTTTGCCTGGAGTACAAAAGATAACAGAGGATACTGCATGGTTTAAAGTCCAAAAAGATGTTAATTAGAATTGTAAAGTGAACACATTATGTGAGAAGCTGGGCTATCTTAAGAAGAATGTGTCATCAGGATTGCAGGAAGAATCAGTTAAATCTTACCATACAAAGACCTTGTTGAAACTGAAGCAGACGTGAGGCACTTACTCCCTAAGATAAATAAATCAATAAATCGGGGAGGGTGGGCCTTAGGTATAAGATTGCACAATTTGAAGGGTGGAGGGAGGGCTGGGTAAAGAAAAGAAAAAAAAAGATCAGGTGTGAAAAACAATGTACACAAACTTTGTAAGTAAGCCAGTATTAAAAAAAAAAAAAGGTTAAGTAACTATAGACTTCAATATGAATACATTTCAATATAAAGAAAATGGTAATCTTCACAACTGAGCCAATAAGCTACATCACTGTAAATGGAAAAATACACTGAAGCTGTCAGAACTGAATCCCTATCACAGGAAGGCTGTCACCAACAAATACCAGATTATTTATAACATTCTGCAAATCTGCTGCAAGACTACTTTAAAGGGCTAAAGCTCCACGACCATCAATCCCTGGTCCTCCAGGCTTGTGTAAAGCAGTCAGTGAAAACCAGGCAGGCTGTGCGCTGAGATGGACTGACCCCAGGACTGTCCGCCGACGTGGCCTGACCCCCCGGACTGTCTGCAAATGTGGACTGACCCCAGGGCTGTGTGCACAAGTGGACTGACTGCCCTGTCCACCGAGGTGGACTGACCCCAGGGCTGTGTGCACAAGTGGACTGACCCCCGTTGTCCACCGACATGGCCTGACCCCAGGGCTTCAGGAGCCACGCCGCCTGTGAGGAGTCCAGGACTGGTCAGTGCACACAGTGGCGACGAGGCACGAGGACTGGGTCCCTAACAGTCACAGACCATCCGACACACGGGAATAAATCCATTTTCGGTTCTCTGGATTTGCTGATTTCTTCCAAGCGAAGCCTTTCAAAAGTCCAGTCCAGCACCTGCTGGAGGGAAAGGACCCTCGCCCTCTCAGGGACAGTCAGGACTGTCACACTGACCCATAAATAAACAGCTGCTGCTACGTGTCCGGTACTATTTCCAGGTTACAGACCCACGGACGTAAACAAGCACCAAGCACGCGTGACGGCCCACGGGACATCGAGTCCTCCCGCCGCGCGCCTCCCGGGCCTGAAGACCACTGTCCGGCGGGAACCGGCCCGCAGCCGCCCGCCAGCAGCCTCTCGGCCGGTCAATCGCCCGCGCAGGGGTCGGTGGACGCGAGCCCGTCCCGCGGAACAGTGGACGTTTTCACACGTTCCTACTCACCGGACACGCCTCCCTCCCCGCGACGGGCTGCTGGGACCCGCTGCCCCTTCACCGGCTCGCAGGCGTCGCGGCCCGTGTCCCGGGGAGCTGGACCGGCTCGCAGGCGTCGCTGCCCGTGTCCGCGTCCCGGGGAGCTGGACCGGCTAGCTGCCGCCAACACAGCTGCGAGAGCCTCTTCCGGGGAAATGGCGCCAAGGCAGCCCCCGCCCCGACGTTGCCGCGGCAACAGGACTTTGACCAATCAGGGCTCCGCTGCGAGGCCCGGGGCGGACTACGTCTCCCATGAAGCTCAGCGCGCAGGCCTGGGCCCCCACGGGCGAGTATTTGCGCAGGACTGTCGGTCCCGAGAGGCCCGTGTCCGACGAGTTCCGCCGGCTGGATCCTGGCGGACCACGCACCCGACGGTCAGTCTTCGCTTGGACGCTGTAACCGTCAAATTGTTAGCTAGCGAGTACCATTGCGCATGTGCAGAATGAGCTTGGTTCTTATTGGCAGAGGCGGTGAGTGGCAGGCAAGTGGCCAATCAGAGGCGGTATCCCGCCCGAGCCCCTCCCCGAGGGCGTCTTCTGGCAGCACCGTCGTTCCCTCTTTAACTCAAGAGAGCAGACCGGCAACTTCGAGTCCACGCTGGATGGTTGCAGCATCCCACCTCCCCTTGGAGAGGCCAGAAGTAGCGGCACTCGCAGTGAGCCTCTCCCAGGCCTTTGACCCCTCCCTCTTCCCGGAAAATGCTAGAAAACTGTACAGGGAAATGCCTGCACCACCGCCTCTGCCAGGAGTCCCGGCAGCATCTCCTGCTAGGACCTGCATGATCTGCTGCTGAAATGTCGCTGCCTCTGATTCTCACCATCACACTCCTCCAGCATAGTCCTCCTGGGAACCGATGCCACTCCTGACTTTTCTTTCCTGATGGGATCTCCTTCTGCATCTCAGATGAGCTCTCCTAAGACCTTCTTTGGGACTGTGTACACTTCATTTGCATTGACATTGTCAGCTGCATCTTGCTAGGATCCACAGTTGACAGTTTCCTGCAGTTGGATCACCAGGAGACGAACTCCTATTGCATTGTCAAAAGCTGCTGTCAGGTACCTGTCCAAGTTACTGAGGAGCAATGATGCCAGTTTGAAGACCAAGGTGTACCGGCCTCAGTCACTTACTATGCATCTTGAGAGCAGAGCAGTGAATAAGGATGGAATTAATGCTTTCAAGCTCTGGTGTTGGAGAAGAGTTCTGAGCCCACGAACTACCAATAAACCAAACAGATAAGTCTCGGAGAAAGTGCAGCCATTCCTGTGATGACAAAGCTTCAACTCACATACTTTGGGTATGTTGTTAGGAGAGGCTATTCATTGGAGAGAGACATCATACTTGGAAAGGTGAAGGGTTGGCAAAGGAGGACCCCGAGATGGGACTGACACAGAGACTGCTGCAGTGGGTCAGGATGGCACATGATTAGACTCAGATTTTTGTTCTAAGGGTTGCTATGAGTTGTTCTCAACTTGAAAGTACCTCAAATCAGTGCAGGGTTCTGCCAGCTAAGATAGTTGAACAAACTGATGCAATGCTCTAGATGCTAACTCATCTAGGCCAAGGTATCTGAAAAACAGTTACCTGGCCAAACAATCAGAATTGATCTGTATTTAAGCTTATTCCAAAGAAGTGTGATCCAACCGTATGTGGAAATGAGACATCATTAACATCAATTGCAAGGAAAAGGTAATTTTTTTTTTTAAACAGTCCCTCGGTAAGGACTATCCACTTAGCTTTGTATCCAAAGACGAAATTTGTAGGTGAAAGGAGTTAGGAGTTAGCCTTCGTTACAGACTGGATCATTTCAGGGTCGAAAATA